GAAAAACTTGAAACAGCTCTTTATAAGTATATACTAAGTCTACAAATATACTTTTAAATTTTTATAAAGAAGCTTGTACCGTATAAAAGGCTTTCAAATGTGACCTGAATTTGAATTATATTTAATTCCTAAGCCGAAACCATAGTTTTATGGGAAACAGGAACAATGGGTTTCTAGAGTGAGCCATGCCTGTCACAGTCACAGTGCCTTCAGTTTAGATCAGCAGAGTTTCTTTAGGTTACTTGTGCAGTATGGTAAAAGGAGGAGGAAGATAGGGGTCAATGGCTCCCGAACACATCCTAGCGGTCTCAGGGTCTATGGCCCTTCCTGATCCCTAACACTCAGTGGGCCTCCGTGGCCAGCTCCCAACAAAATCACAGCAGCATTTTCTCTATGCCCTTGTCGTCTTCCATAAGTGCACGTGAATAGAAAGAAAAGTAAGAGCTGTTTCAGCTAATGGCAAAACACCCAACCTAAAATAACAACACAAAAGCAAACAAACAAACTGGGAAGACAACATGTGCCATATTCAAAACAAGAGGAAAGTGCTGCTAGGCAAAGCCAAGGACACGCGTGCTAGTGAGGGGACTTCCGTCCCTGCATTCATTCACACACAGCAACTGACTGGGCACACATCCTGGATCTGACACTGTGGGTTGCCCTAGATTGCAGTGTCGGGAAATGCCATGTCTTTCTCCAAGAGCCTCTAAATATGTCTATTCCACGTACCTTCTTCAAAAGTCCTGACCTGAGTATCTGGACTTTGGCTCTCAGCGTGATGACAAAATGAAGCCAAAGCTTGTTCAATCCCCAAAAGAATTTCATTAGCACCATCCAGAGAGCTGATTCAGCACCCCCTACCAGTGCCATGCCAGCACAACAAGAAATGTGAATCACTCTTGCACACACATTAACGCACACCTTAAACCTCTGCACAGAGTGATTTTATGCTCTGCTTTATATGGCTGAGGAACCGAAGGCTCAGAGAACTTAACTGATTCCATCCCAATCTCAGAAACAGAACTTGAACTCTGGTCCTCTGCTCCAGAACTGCAGAAGAGCTACCTCCAGGGTCATACAGAAAGTCTTGATTCACTTCCAGACCGCAGTCCTTCAAAGACCCAAAGGTAGCTGTAGCTATTTAATGTCTCCTACCCTGCAAGTCTTTGCTTCCCAGGGTAAACTAACAGCTGTATGGTTCCTTCAGTCAAGGTGACCTGCCTTCATTGAAACACACCTCATTTGTCATTTAGAAGATGGACTCCAGAGTAAAAAGCAGCATTTGTAGCCATGGGCTACACAGCAAAGACTATGACAATGCTATCATTACCTTTGTAACACTGTGATTATGGGTTGGCCTTGTCGATTAAAACACACCAAAAAACACCTCAACAGAAACTACGATTAAGCCAGAACTCTCCCTTCCTATGTAAGAAACCCAAGTTATTCTATCTAAAATTCAAAGCCAAAGGCTTCTAGATGCCATGACTCTGAAGCCTGGCATTCTACCTCACTCAGGAGGTAGAGGGCTTTCTGAATTTCAATTTGTTTCCTTGTCTATTTGCTAGCCCCCCTATTTTCTATGCTACATAAATTTGACAGCCTTGCCTTTCTTAGTTTTCTTTCAAGTGAAGTAAGTAGTAGCAAACATCTACTGAGCACTTACTATGTGCCAGACGCCATACTAAGCAATCTACACGCATCATCTCATTTTGTCCTTATTATAATCGTTAGGTGGAGAAGACACCATCATTATTTCCATTTTATGGGAAAACAAACAAAGAAAACAGGTTCAAGAGGCTAAAGACTTCTAACTAAAGTCAAGCTGTTGAGGGAGGACTCAAATCAGGGTCTATTCAATAACAGAGTCCATTCTCCTAACTACTTCAAGCAACATCACCTTGGGGTAGAGACTACTTCCCTGTCATAAGACTTGCATGAGATTAGAAAGTATCCCTATTGTGCCAGGACAATCACCCTAATAGGAAAAACGTAGTTGGGGGGGAGGGGGGAAGAACCAGGATGATCAAGAACAAAAATATAAACTATGTTCATAAATGAAATAGCTTGTGGAAAAAAGTTAATGATCTTTAGCCTGCACGTAGATAGCACCTGTCTGAGATCAGCATATTTCTACACTTATTTTAAATAAATTTATATCAGGAAAAAGATTACAAACCAGGGTCAGTCTACTTTAAAATACAAAGTTAATGAAGGAACAGTTTAAATAAATCCATAATCATAAATTCCAAGATAGCCAATAAGAAATGTATTCGATTATTTAGAACTAAGATGCCGGGACTGAAATCTCTTCTACTTTCCTCCCTCTCAAGTGTCGATGTAAGTGAGAAGTATTTTGGTCTGAGAAACATTTCTTTAAGGAAAGAATGGTGGCTGGGTGCAGTGCCTCACAACTTTGAGACCGAGGTGAGAGGATGGCTTGAGGAGCCTGGAGCCAGCCTAGGCAACACAGCAAGTCTTCGTCTCTAAAAATCAAAAAGTTAGCTAGGCGTAGTGGCGCATGCTCCCAGCTACTCAGGAGGCTGCGGATGGGAGGACTGTTTGAGCCCAGGTGTTAGGCTGCAGTGAGCCATGACTGTGCCACCGCACTCCAGGGAAAGAATGGAAGGGCCACAGTCACAACAGGAGGGAACAACTGCAATTTCTGGTCCCATCTGTTAGAAATTAACTTCTGCATTTATTATTCTGGAAAGTAAAATAAATCTGACTTCTTGAAAACAACAGTAAATCAATCTTTTAAAGTTTGAAATTTAGATCACTGACAACTCCACAAAATAAGCTGTAGTTTACCACAAATATCATAATACTTATCCCACCCAATAGGGCAGGCCTCCCTTTATTTGTCCCTCCACATAGTATGAGTTTCTTGTAAAATCTCAGATTTTATTAGGTAATTTTTATTTTTCTCATTACTTATGTTAATATTTTTAGGATGTTTTATTGTCCATTTAATTGACTTAAATCATCAGTGATTCCTGAGATTGCTTTTGGCTTCCTTTCTTTAAAAACTTCCTATTTAAAAAAATGATCCATAAACACTCACATCTACCAGAAACCTCTCAGAGAACTTGTTATGGAGGGAAGTAAACTATTTCTATAAAGAGAATAATCACCCCCCCGATGTATGTTTTTGATAATGAACTGCAATGTATAATGACAATAATAATGAACTGCAGAGTAAGATATATAAGGAACTATTAACAGTCACTGAGCAACTGGCTCTGACCTCCAGGGAATCAATTATGACACCACGGAACTGCTTACAACATGGGGGGGGCTCCAGTCAGTCACACCCCGCATAGGCCCGCAGGCCCACAGGCCAACAACCCAACACAAGCAAGCCACACACAAGACGGAAGCCTCAAATTCCCCCAGACCCTCACTCGTAGCCTATTCCACATCTAACTCGTAGCCTATTCCACGCTAAAGTCAGCTCTTATCTCCTTTCCAATGACAGCTGCCTTAATTTCCATCTTTATTGTTTCTTTCTTAGGTTACTGATATGCTTCCTAGTGATTTCATTTTTCAATCTCTTTTCCTTCTAATCCTTCTTCCATGTTGCTATCATTTATCTTTCTCAAGTATGAGCCTGTTGTCACTCTCATTTATCAAAACCTACCATAACACTTGCACTTTTGGCCATGATGAAATAACAGAGGCTAGATCTATTCTCCTGCTTGAAATAACTAAAAGAGTAAAACAACTTTTTTAAAAGGTTTACAACACACTAGCCATGATGCAAAGAAGAGAGGAGAGTGACAGAAAGCACCTGAAGTGAGACCCCTAAGTACCCAGCTTAGCACCTTGAGAGAGCTTCTGGGCTGCAAGGCACACAGCACCAATCAAAATCTCAGCAGACTTCTAGTAGAAATTGACAAGCTGATTCCAAAATTCACGTGGGACAGCAGAGGACCTAGCATACACAAAACACCTTGGAAAAGACAAAGTTGGAGGACTAACACTACCCGATTTCAGGATTGATTACAAAGCTTCAGTACTCAAGACAGTGTGGCATTGACATACAGATAGAAAAATAGATTAATAGAAGAGAACAGAGCCCCAAAATAGACTCACACACATACAGAAAATGGATGACAAAAGTGCAAGGCGATGCAGCTGAGAAAAGATAGTTTCATCAACAAATGGTGCTGGGACAATTGGCTATTCATAAGAAAAAAAAAAAAAAAAAAAAAACTTCACTCTATACCTCATACCCTGTACTACACACAAAAAATTTACTCAGAATGCATCACAAACTTAAATGCAAAACCTGCTGGGCATGTTGACTCCCGCCTGTAATCTCAACACTTCAGGAGATGGAGGTGAGAGAATTTCCTGAGCCCACAGGTTTGATACCAGCCTGGGCAACATGGCGAAACCTTGTCTTTACAATAAATCAAAAAAACTAGCCAGGCGTGGAAGCACATGCCTGTAGTTCCAGGCTGAGCCCAGCAGGCCGAGGCTGCGGTGGCCATGAGCGTGCAACTGCATTCCAACCTGGGTGACAGAGTGAGAATCCAACTTAAAAAAAAAAAAAATGCAAAACCTAAAACTATGTAACTTCTAGAAAAAGATTTTTAAAAGAAAATTGTTGGGAACTTGGGTTAGGCAAAGATTTTTTTAGATATAACACCCAAAGCACTAACTGAAAGAGAAAAACTTTATAAACTAGATGTCACCAAAATTCAAAACTTCTGCACTTCAAAAGAAACTGTTAAGATCACAGACTGGGAGAAAATGTGCACAAATCATATATCTGATAATGAATTATATTCAGAATATATAAAGAACCTCAAATGCAAAAGTCCAAAAACCAGTGGAGCAAGATTTGGAGACATGCTTCGCTAAAGAGGAAAGTGCCAAGTAAGCATACAAAGAGGTCCTCGATGTCCTGGACCACAAAGGAAACGCAAACTAAAGCCTCCCCAGCGCAGCACCTCAGCGGGGGAGAGCACCTGCCTGTGAGAGGCCTGCCACACCAAGGCCAGAGCAGACGCAGAGCGCTGGGGTCCCTTCGTCTCTCCACACGCAGAACCTTCGTCTGCGGACAACTGCATTCCTGAAGCAGGGCATTTAACCAGATAACCTGAGCCACATCCAGGATAATTTAATCTTCTGAGAGTGACTCAGAAGACTTATAACATGTTGTCTCAGGGTCACCATTATGGTTTTTCTGCAAAGCATAAAAATGTTTGTCAATCGAAATGTTTTATGTAACAGATATCAAAGAAACCAGCTCTTAGTCCATAACGACTCACAGGAACTTTTTATTATCATTTTTTCTCTAATCCAGCAATTCTCAAAGTGTGGTCATGGGACCAGCAGCATCACCAACCCCTGAGAACTGACACTAGAGAAGTGAGTCAACTCTGGGGTGGGGCCCAGCAATCTGTATTTTAAGGAGTCCTCCAGGAGATTTTGATTCATGATAAAATTGGAGATCCATGTTCTAATAATGCATGACTTAAAGTGAAAATCGTAAGTTACTAATTCTCTGAGATTCCTTCAGAATTCACAGAATTTTAAGACAAAAAGAAACTGTTACATCAAATCAATGTTTTCAACAAATCTAAAACCCAGCCAGCTGTTTTCCCATTTTACACTCCTGAATTATTTTAGGCCTTCACTAAGCTAGAAGACCAAAGCTGGAAACAAGGGCCCACAAACGCACTCGTCTGAACACAAGCCTTTCGACTCGACGGCCTCGTGGACTCCCCCTGTTCTTGCCATGGCTCCCACTCTTCCCTCCTTCCAAACTTACTAGACTTGCTTCTCATTTCAGCTACGAAATGAGATGTCCTCTAGGGAATATCGGCACCGGTTTATTTAGGCTTATCTCCATTGAGTGGATTTTTAAAATCTAGTTAATAAATTTTTTAATTGCTGCATAAAGATACTGAAGATAGAAGCAGAATGAAAGTGGAAACAGTATTGGACTGTATCAGGACATCCGGGACTGTCAAAAGCTTGGTGAGACTTTGGGTTAATAACCGAAACTTTCCAGGGCTCAGTTTCCTCACTTTTAAGAGAGGGTTGGGGCAGGCCTAGGGTCTACACATCTTCGGCCTTACCCTTAAGCTCATTCAGGCGACACTGCCAAAAAGCGAAAACGGCTTAAGGCACACGAGGCGCCTCTCCTCAGGGTTCAAGGACACTCTGCCACACACAGCTTCCAAAAGGGCACACAAACGAACCTGGACACACACGTGTTTTCAGTGGCTGAAGTACCAAAACGGCAGCGGGACTGAACAGGCTCTGGCTCTTTGATGGGTTCATTCTTCTTGAAACTAGAGGGGGACGTGGCTTGAACCTCAAAAGCAAATCTTCCACATCACAATGTCACGAACATCCTGGGCTCTGGAGAGAGACTGCCTGGGCTTGGATTCTGGATCTTAGGAATGTTTTGGGCTCTTGGGCAAGTTATTTAAACTTCTGAACTTTAATTTTAGCTACCGCATTTTAAAAGAGGAAATCAATCGCATTTTCTTCATACAAATTAAATGAGAAATTGATAGAGTATGTAGCACAGAACACAGCACAAAATAAATACTCAATAAGTATGAGATTTTTTTTTTTTTTTTTGAGTTGGAGTCTCACTCTGTTGCCCAGACTGGAGTGCAGCGGCCGCTCCGGCCACCGCAGCCTCGACCTGCTGGGCTCTGGCGATCCTTCCGCCTCAGCCTTCCGAGTAGCCGGAATTACAGGCGCGCGCTACCACGCCCAGCTAATTTTTTGATTTTATTGTAGAGATGAGGTCTTGCCTGCCCAGGCGGGTCTCGAACCCGCGGGCTCAGGCAATCCACTCACCTCAGCCTCCCAAAGGCGCGAGATTACAGGCTGAGCCACCAAGCCCGGAGGACGACATATTTTATTCACATGACTTGCAAAGTTGGATTTCTCACGAGAAGGTATCAGAACTGATCTACAATTTAGTAAACACACAGGGTGCCCCTGTCTGTGCGAGGCACTCACCATTCAAAGACCGGGAACAGATGGCTCTCACATGTCGGGGTGCAGCGAATCCTTGGGCGATTGTTCAACATGCAGATGCCTAGGCTCTGCTTTCAGAAGCTCCACCTCTGCATTTCTAAAATACACTTCCCAGGCGCCCTAAGGCAGGCTGTGGGGACTGCAGTTAAGAAACACTTCTTTTTTTTGAGTTGGAGTCTCACTCT